TGGGATTACAAACTTTCACTACTATAAACTCTATAAATACTCTAACAGACATTGTTTATACCGGATTATATGTGTTTCAGACAGCATCAGTAAATGTTTACCAAAATGTAAGGAACATAAAAACGATACAGAACCACCATCATGTACAACCTATATGGGAATTACAAAATGAAAACATCAGATACAACTCAAGTTGACAATATCGATATACACAACATTGAATAGCTACTCACCTAAATTATCACTGAGGTGGTGGTATTTGGAACAACCGTCAAAACACAAATACTATGTAGTGTCCTTTTCAGTATCGTTTCATACTCTCTTTCAACTTTTCCTATCAATATTCAAAGCAAAAGTAATTCAGATCTAAAAACCAAGAATCACATGTACGACATACTCAAGCAACAAAACAAGCCTCCTTTTGAACAACTAAACTCATTTACGATTACCAATCTATCCGGTTTAAGGCTTCCATATGACTTCAAAACAAGCCTTCTCAGCATTTTTGTTCTTCTTCGTTCCTGCTTTAGGTCCGTATTCTATAGCTAAAACTTTTGTATCCCTGAAAATATAAACGAGAGAGTTCAATGAATCCCATTCAAAAATGATAAAAAAAAACTTTGTACCCATAATAGATATTGAGAAAGCTGATAAAGTACCTTCTGACCAACTAGCAGAGCCATGAGGACGATGAAGGATATTACGGGAACAAGCAAGAGGTCTCAGCTAACAAGTAAGTATTTTTCCCGGGTTATATTTCAAGTCAAAAAATAGATCTAATCTTAGAAATTGTAACTACATAAGAAAGATTTAGTTTTATTAACTACATAATAACAAATAAAAAATAAACATAAAATAGCAAAAACAATCAATAATTTTTTCTTCACAATTTTCAAAACAAAACCCACGCGTAGCGTGGGTATTCATCTAGTTTTATCAAACAAAAGAAGAACAAAAAAAATTCATATCTAACAAACGTAGAGAAAACAATTTAACTATCAACAATTTTCTGCATTCTTTGGGAAATATAAGAAAAACATAATATTGTTTTCTCCATACTGGTTTAGGTAGACGAAGATATAAACCTTCATACTTGAGAGTTGAGATATTCCGGTCAGATTAATATTTGTTTTCCTATTTTGAATTCTAAATGGCATCATTTGTAAATACGAAGAAAATATGGTCTAAGGTTATTTTTAAAATTTATGTGTTGTTAGAGTAATCAAGATCTTGACTAAGCTATTAGAGTAATTTAGGATTTTGTGTCATTCTGTGTAGTTTGTCATTTGTTTATTTCTATATATAAATTCTGATATTAGAGGCAGAGGAAATGGCCTAATATGTGCAAGAAATTTAAAAGATATATCATATGTTGACTTCTTCCAATCTCAAATGGTATATCTATAATTTTTTGTTAAGAAATTTATATAGGATTAGATTATATAAAGGGATATAACCATTTGCTCTAAAACCAAGAAAGAAAAACTAAACTTATATTTTCTGAAAAAGAGCTCAAAATACAATAATGTCTACACAAAAAATTTACCTTGCTTCTTTGCTATTCTTTATCTGTCTCGTTTTTCCTCAATCAACTGGTTATATTTTATTCCTCTTGCCTTTTTCATATCAAATCAAATAATATTAGAAAATGAGATAATTGATACGTTTTTTTTTTAATATATTTTCCAGCAATCGTATGTACCATCGAAGGCCATTGTATAACTAATGAAGACTGCATCAACGCATGCATAAGTGGAGGAGATCCATTCTTTTGCGTTAAATCAGGCTCAAGTAAAGGCAAATGTTGTTGTATAAAAAAAAAGAAGAATGGTTTTGTACTAGAATGATACATTCATATATTTGAATCATCACCTATCGTAAGATTTAAAATCAATAAAAAAAATAAGACATTTATGTTTCAATTGACAAAAAAAAAGATAGTTGAATTTGCGTTTAGTGTTGTGTTTCTTTTAGTGTTGTGTTTAGTGTTGTGTTTCAAAAATCAAGAAAAGCATAAATGTTTACTTTTTAGTGTGTTAATAATCAATCAAGGATGATCTAGCTATTGGTTTATTGTCGTAGATCATGGACCGAAGAGTCAAGATGAGATTACTCTCTGAATTTGTACCCGATTAGAGAATTTTTTGTTGGTTAACTAATGGATATGGCTGAAAATTGGTGTGAGAATATGGGAGGAAGTCAAAAGATGAGAATAAAGAAGTGAAACGACTGTGTTTGATGATCAATCAGTCTCATAATTTGGTCACTTTTGCTTCGGTTTGAAACACAAAGCTGCGATCTTTGCGTACATTCACACATGCTGCCTTGGCCTGCTTTCCCTTACGTCACCTTCTCTCTGTCTCTTTTCCACTTCAATGACACAACTTGGCATTATTCATTCCAATATCCTTTGTCCAAGGCTAACTCTGCGTTTTTTTTCCCCAGAGATAGTCCTTTATTAAGTCTTCGTGAAAGACTCTAATTCATTTGGAAGTTTTTATGATTTTTTAATTTCTATTTTCATTTTTTTTTGGTAAGATAATTTCTATTTTCATTTTGTAAAGTCAATTAAGAAGTTTTATTTTTTTTTAATAAATTTAGAGAGAAATGAGGGTAAACTTGGGTTTTGAAATTTATAAAGGCTATTTGACCAATCTACAAAAATATGGTATATTTGGACAAATTTTAAAGTAGATATCCTTTATATCCAATTTTCCCTTTTTAAAATTATGTGTTGTTATAACAATCAAGATCTTGACTAAGCTATTAGAGTAATTTAGGATTTTTTATGTGTTATTCTATGTATTTTTCATTTATTTATTTCTATATTTAAATTCTGATATTAGAGACAAAGGAAATGGCCTAATATGTGCAAGAAATTTAAAAGATATATCATATGTTGACTTCTTGCAATCTCAAATGGTATATCTATAATTTTTTGTTAAGAAATTAATATAGGATTAGATTATATAAAGGGATATAACCATTTGCTCTAAAACCAAGAAAGAAAAACTAAACTTATATTTTCTGAAAAAGAGCTCAAAATACAATAATGTCTACACAAAAAATTTACCTTGCTTCTCTGCTATTATTTATCTGTCTCGTTTTTCCTCAATCAACTGGTTATATTTTCTTCCTCTATTTTTCATATCAAATCAAATAATGTTAGAAAATAAGATAATTGATACGTTTTTTTAAAAATATATTTTTCAGCAATCTTATGTAACTTCGAAGGCTATTGTATAACTGGTGACGACTGCATCAACGTATGCATAAGTGGGGAAGATCCATTCTTGTGCGTTAAATCAGGCACACATAAAAACAAATGTTGTTGTTTGAAGAAAAATGGTTTTGTACTAGAATGATACATTCATATATTTGAATCATCACCTATCATAAGATTTAAAATCAATAAAAATAATTCATATTAATTTTAATTTTTCTCATATAAATATGACATATTTGTTTCGCATCATCATATACAAAAAAGGTTGAAAAACAAAATCATTGATTCATTGTAATGCAAGATTAGTCTAACTTGTTAATCTATTAAAAATGTCTACGACATTGAGACTGAAAAAAAAAATTAGTATTCTAAAAAGAACTAAGTATAAGGGTTTATTAAGCATTTTAAATGAATCATAAGGGTTTTAAAAAGAGTTTATAAGTGTTAACAAGGATTTTTAAAGAGTTTTAAAGGTTTAAAAGGGTTTTAAAAGATTTTACAAAGGTTTTTATAAGACTTACAATAATTTTAAAAAGATTTTATAAGCGTTAACAAGGATTTTTAAAGAGTTTAAAGGTTTAAAAGGGTTTTAAAAGATTTTACAAAGGTTTTTATAAGATTTACAATAATTTTAAAAAGATTTTATATGCGTTTTGGAAAGATTTACAAAAGTCTTAAAAGATTTACAAGAGTTTTCAAATGATTTTGTCATTTAACACATAAAAAGGTTATTTTAAAAAATAAACAATAAGAAGAAGTATTTTTTAAAAAGGACATAGAAAAAGGAGTATTTGTTCAAATGTCCCTATAATTATTTAACTAAAAAAATACCTCATATATCAACAACTAATGATGTATTAAAAAAAACAACTTTAAGATAAAAAATTGAGAAAGTTACTCAGATGTCATACAAATTAGGTGAAATGAACAGAAACATACAAATCTTTTTTTTATTATTGTCATATTTCAGGTATATTTTGTATATCCAGCATGCCCCTGTTAAACGTTATAGGAAAAACATAATTACAAAGAATGTCATTGCCACGTCAGACAAACCGCGTCGGCACGTCAGAAATCGCTGACGTGTATTAATGAACTCAGCCGTAAACCGATACAGCGGCAATGACGGCTGAGTTACGGTATTCTGCAGCTGATTTAAGAAAAATAGCTGAGTTATGAGCAAACGGCTGACTTATGAGTATAACCAAGCGAGGAGTTACGGCTGACTTAATGAAATCTGTCTAAGTTATGAAAAAATGGCTGACTTTCGAGCATAACCCAGCCTAAGTTACGGCTGAGTTTTTACCCGATGGTTGATTTGTCAAAATTTTGGCTGAGTTATTGCTTCGACACAGCTGAATTAACTTTCTCCGGCTGGCTGAGTTATCAAAGAGGGCTTAGTTATGGGATGCCGGTACGGCTGATTTATGTTCGAGTGTCATAAATCAGCCGTAATAAGCTGAATTACGGAAAAATCGGCCTAATTACGGCTGACTTAGTAGCGAAAGATTAATTACTAGAATAACATGTAATTACGGCCGACTTATTAAACGATACGGCTGAGTTAAAGATTTTCGGTTGAGTTACGACATTAAACGGCTGAATTTGGCAGCCATTTTATTGTTTTTTAATTACTGTAAATGTAATAGTATTCATGTTGCGACTGACTTAAAGTTTTGTTTGATGGCTCGTTTAATTAGGCTGATTTACATGTTCGTTTGGTGGCTTACTTGCCACTTCATCAATTAAAAAATGACGTCGGATGCAACATTCCATGACATCATCATCAAAGGAAATACGAAACGTCTTTTATCTACTCGTCTTCTTCTTCACTGTGTTGATCTTCACCTGTGTTTTTCCTTTTTCACATCACCAAAACTTAAATTTTGAACATCCAATTCGTCATCGTCTTCCTCATTCTTCTTCATTTTCGTTCATCTTTTTCCCGATATTATTGATCCGGTTTCGGTAATTGTTGTTTCCGGTAATTGGGTAAAGAAACACAAATATGTATTTAACACCGACGATAGAGGGTGTAGAGTTGTGCAGATAGATGCGGAAACAACGCAAGACAAGCTTGTGAAGTTGGTTCTTGTGATAAGTCAGCCGTGAAGCATTATAACTCAGCCGTAATATGTAAATTTACACAACACAAATTGGGTAATTGTTGATCCGGTTCCGGTAATTGTTGTTTCCGGTAATTGGGTAAAGAAACACTAATATGTATTTAACACCGACGATAGAGGGTGTAGAGTTGTGCAGATAGATGCGGAAACAACGCAAGACAAGCTTGTGAAGTTGGTTCTTGTGATAAGTCAACCGTGAAGCATTAAAACTCAGCCGTAATATGTAAATTTATGCAACATTTCGTCTTCCGTGAAGCATTATAACTCAGCTGTGATATGTAAATTTGCCGCAAAACAATAAGTTACGTAACCTTTCGTCTTCCTCTCTTTTTTCTCTTATGACGTGGCTTTAATTTTTTTCCTCTTAAAGACGTGAGTTAAACTAATTTTTTATTAATTATATTTTAATTTAAAAAAATAAAAAATCTCAATTATAAAAAACTAATCAAGGGTGTTAATTGTAATTACACAAAGACACTAAACATATGAGTAATTTTCAGAAAAAGTATGATATGCTAATAATATTCCAAACTTTCTATAACACTAGATAAGCCCCGCCTAAATAGGCGGGTATAATATATAAATATAAATTGTTATCGATGATATTTGAATTTTAATTAATATAGTAATCCATTCACTTTTTCTAATATTTAATAATTTAGTATGTTTTGTTCTAAACAAAAATTAAATCTTACACATTCTATTTTTCTATACATTTTAACTATTTATTTCATGGTAATAAACTGAATTTTAATTCTACACACTCTTTCGTATTGATGATATTTAAATCCTAAATAGTACCCGACACAATTTTTATATATTTAATTTAGTATTTTTTTTATTAAAACGAAATTTCAATCCTACACATTCCATTTTGCAATATAATTTAACTATTTATAACATCATAATAAACTTGATTTTAAGTCTTCATAGTTCATCTTAATGGATAAACTGCTAATAATAATTTTGTATCAAAATCGTATAGATATCATATCAAATCTATATCTTAGTTAATATTAAAAATTTAAATATAATTAACAAATAACAAAACATTTAATAAAAAAATAGAAATCCACAAAAGTTATGGAAAACAAACATTGTTTATGATATAATTTTCTATATAACATAATCTCATAAGTTAGTTTTACCTCCTGACAAACTAATTTTAAATGAGTTAAAATTAATTAATAAATCATTAAAAATATATATATATATTAACATTCTCATTAAGAAATCAAAAATTCAATCATATAAGCCATTTTCCCAAATATCTTTAGTTTATAATTATGACTACATGCACTAAAATTCTTAAAATAAAATTAAGTATAACCACACTAATTTTTTTATCAAATATTCAATATTCGTTCGTTTTTTTTTTTTGGTGAGCATATTCGTTCGTTTTTATAAGCTCATTATTTTTTGTAAAAATTTTGTATTTTTATTTGACGAATAAAAACACTATATTACGATAATAAATACAATTTTATCCAATTAAATTAATGTTAAATAACTTATATTGTTATTTAAAACTTCAACCGTTATTGTTTATTTGTTAATATCCATACTAAATGATTTTATAGAAATCAATTAACACATGCCAAAAATTGACCAATAACACATGTGAAGAGAAGTTGTTAGTTTTCTTTTTTGACTAAGAAAAATAAAGTTAACAAATTTTAAAAATTAGATATATAAATTAGTATATATAAATATATATTTTTTTTAGTTTTCCTATTTCATTAATGAAGAAAATTAAATATTTTTTTGATATATGTCAACGTCTGATCGATAGACTTGACACGTATCACGATTATGCGAGTTATTAATTTTGAAAACCATACTTTATATAATAAGAAATCTGAGTAAATATTCTAAAAAATTTAGTATTATAATGAGTTTATAACCGATCAATATATATATATATATATATATATATATATATATATATATATATAATAAGATTCTACTTAAATGCGAATATAACACCTTACTAATTAAATTAAAATTTAAATTTAAGCAAATTAGTTATATACGAAGAAAATATATTTTTAAAAATATATAAAATTCCAATTAAATGCGAATATTATAGAAAGAGAGGAGAAAACCCTAAAATCCATCTTCGTTGTCGTTTCGTCTGCTTCAACATCGGAAAGTTTTCACCTTTTTCGTTTTCGTGGTGGCGATTTCTATTCTCCGGCTGAAACCTACCTTCAGGATTCAGCCTTTCTCTGGTACTCTTTCTTCCGTCTCCATCGGCTTCAATTTTACTTGAATTGCATAGTTTTTATCTTGCTTGACTGATGAATTCATCTCCGAACTAGGCATGCCAATATTTATCAGTACTGATTGTGTGTAAGGTTAGGTTTAGGATTTATGGAGCTTGAAGGGTGTGTATTGTTAATTGGGTTGTTGGTTCCTCCTAAAAAGTTGTGTAATTTATCATTAGTAGGGGTTAAGATTACACTATGATCAATCAAACTCTGTTTGCTATATTCTTTTGTGTGATTGATGATGTTTAAAAGCTGAATCCTTTCATGAATCAATTCGTAAAGTCGGTGTTATGTTAATTACCTAAGTTTTTGGAACGAACAGAGTGTTTTTGTTCAGTTTGGCATCTTTATTAGATCATGAAACTTCTTTTTGTTTGGGGCTTTCTTGAGAATTAACTTGTAATCAGGCTCTATGATGTTCTTAAGCTATGAAGCCTTAATCTTAAAAGTAATTGTATCAGTGTCTTGGGCTGTTATGAATTCCTGGTGCTTGTTGCAAGTTGACTATGAACTTGTTAGACACTTTTTTGTTACTTGGTCAGACAACATGACTACTTAAGATCATGTGTATCACTATATTGAAAGTATCGTATTAGATTTTTGGTTGGTGTTTGGTTGCATTTTACCTTCAGGATATATAACTAATGTATGATTTAGATTTAAGCATCACCATTGAGAGCTTTTATTCTGTGAAGATCTTTGTTTCATCTTTCTGATGTTATGTGGCTGCTTGTGCAGGTTTTCTGTTGGATTCAGATAGCAGCTCGTACTTGTTCTAGATAATCAACAATAAATATGGATGATTGGGGTAAGACTTACTTTAAGAATTGTTTAAACACGATGTATATGTGTCTGTGAATACTTTCGTGTTCTCTACTTCTTGTATTACTCTCCCTGACTATGTAAAAACGTAGTACTGGCTGTATCTATACGCTATATATGTTTTACTATGTTAGCTAAGATGATAGGCTTTATTGTTGTTTTATGGAAGTTTTCATATGGAAAATACATTAGAGTTCTCACTTTTAGGTTTCCTTTCTGATTTCAGAGGCTGACGACTTTCAACCACTTCCTGCAAAAGTTGAACTGAAAAGTAACTGGGATGATGAGGATGTGGATGAGAATGATATCAAGGACTCGTGGGAGGAGGAAGATGTATCTGCTCCGGTATAGTTTTCTTTCATTATACTTTTTATCATTGGGTTGTGTTTGTTATTTGATATTGAGATTGCAGCTAACAATCTTTGTTTCTCCTGTAGCCACCTGTAGTAAAGCCTGCTTCTGAGAAGGCTCCAAAGAAAGCAGCAGTAAAAGCTGTTGAAAAGAAGGTTAAAACTGCTGAAGCTCCAAAAGGATCATCAAGGGAAGAACCTCTAGATCCTATTGCTGAGAAACTTCGTATGCAGAGGTAGAGTTTAGAAATATTTCACTGATATATGCTTCTACTGTGTGGTTTGGTTCAATGGGAATAAAAATGTTTTCTAGCAGTGTATGAAGCATGTGACTGAGTTGTGGCCACTGTGCTAATTTCTAATACTCTTTTTATCTTAGGCTTGTGGAGGAAGCTGATTACCAGTCAACTGCTGAACTCTTTGGAGTAAAGACTGAAGAGAAAAGCGTCGATATGTTCATTCCCAAGTCTGAAACTGATTTCTTGGATTATGCTGAGTTGATATCTCAAAGACTTGTACCATTTGAGGTATGCTATATTCATTTCCTGTTACTTTCTTGTCTTAGCTAACTGTCACTTATTTCTCCATGAACAAATATCATATTAGGACCAATTCGCCTGCATTTTAACTATGTCTACTGTTTTGCAGAAAAGTTTTCACTATATTGGGCTACTCAAAGCAGTGATGAGACTTTCTGTGGCCAATATGAAAGCAGCAGATGTTAAAGACGTTGCTTCGTCCATTACAGCTATAGCAAATGAAAAATTGAAGGCTGAGAAAGAAGCTGCTGCTGGCAAAAAGAAGTCAGGTACACACAATCAGTCTTTCTTTTTGCTTTATACTTTGGATTTTGGTTAGACTTTTGAATTAGATGTTTTTAAACTAAGCAAGCATGTCTCTGTTTCTAAATTGATCAGATCATAATGTTTTTTTCTTTCTTTCTTTCTTTTTACTGTGTTTACTAGGTAAGAAGAAGCAACTTCATGTGGATAAGCCTGACGATGATCTTGTTGGGGGTCCTTATGATGCTATGGATGATGATGATTTCATGTGAGAGAATGGCATTTTGGAGATTGCATTTTACCTCCTATAGGATTGTAACTGAGAAGAGGTTTAAATCGTCGGCGGTTTTTTGTTTAATTATACATTATACTGAATTCCAACAGTGCTTTTTTCTCGGTTTTCTTTGCTCAGTTTGATTTGAAAAATTGTGATATGATTTTTTTTGTGGGCAAACTTTTTTCAATTATATGAATTGAACGAGCACTAAGATGTAAAAGAACATCTGTAAACACAGAGAGACCAACCAGATTGGAACGTGTTTATCCCTTTCTTCATCCT